GAGAGAGAGAGAGAGAGAGAGAGAGAGAGAGATGACGAGGCAGAATTTTGGATGCAGTGTCCCTAACATGATGTTTATTTGTTTCATTGACTGTTCAATAGGTACACAAGAGCCTTCAAAGAATCCGGGAGAGAAAATTGGCCAGCTTCATTGAATGGGGACCTGCAAGTGTGCAGGTGAAGTTACATCGAACCTGATCGCTATGCAGTTAGCCTCTTGGTATAGTTGTTGAGGCCAGCTGCAACACCTTTCTCACCTCTTTTTCGTCTGCTTAAACCATCAGTCTCTCTGAGCCTCTTTTTGGCAACCCAGATTGCCGCTGCATGTGGAAAAAAAAACTAACTGTCGTGGGTTCAAATTTCAAAATATTTTCTTTTTGCCGCATTCAGCAGCAATCTGGGTTGCCCCAGGAACCAAGTTGGTGCGGTGGGCTGAGCCGCTGTCAGCAGGGCCCTGTGGTTTGCCTTTGCCCTCTTAAGTTTTTCTTTTCTTTTCTTTTTCATTGTTTTGTTCTTGAAAAAACAGGTCCTTATGGTCCTGGCTCCATATCCATTCTGGGGAGCGTCAGTCCGGTTCCTATTCCCCCGACAAGTCAAGATAACAATATTTTACATTGTGTACCCCTGAAGTGAAGTTACCAAACAAGCACATTTTACAGAGCTTGGAGCACTGGCAAAAGAAGTATTGGGCCTACCTGTAGGCTGTAGCAGCAGGGAGAAAACTGTGGGGAACTTTCCTCCAGAATAAGCCTGAATGTCACACGCTTGCAATGACTTGCTGGTTCCAGGGTGCCTGTAGCCTCTCTCGGACGAGGCTGTACCATAGGTAGGATTCGTAATTTTGCTTGGCTGAGGGCTAACCGAGAGACCTACCTGTAAGGAAAATTCGTGAGGGACATATTTGTAAATATAGGAAATATGGGCCCAATACTAACTCGAATTTCCTACAGCTACCCTAACTGTGAATAGCAGACCTGGGCTACCCCTAGGACAGACAGGCCCAATGGGCCTACGCTGACAGACGTTCCTATAGCCTATAGCCGGGTAGGGAGAGGCCCTAAGGGCCGAAACGGAAACGGTACCGGTCGGTCAGTCAGTCCGGTCTAGGTCGGTCTAGGCTAGTGTTAGAGTATAGATAGGATGGGGACATCGGTCCTGGGCTTTTGGCAGTTGACACTTCGTGGTGGAGGTTGCTGCGCACACGGTATCAGGTCGTGGTTGCTGATTCCGGTGTTGGAGACGGCGGACATAGCCAGACCTACGGAGCGCTGACCAGACTGGGGTCAACGCTGTCCGCTCTGACTCTCTGGGAGTCAAGGCGGTCTAGGCTATCAGAGGTCTGATGCGTTGGAGCACGTGGTGCACTGCTGACCCTCCTCAGGAGTTGGGTCCCAATGGCGATGCACCCATAGCTGCATCTTCTCAGAGATTAACATCGTCTGGACTTCATCTTCACCAGAGACCGTTGGTGCTGAGCTTGTTCCTCATCGTCTGAGTGGCGATTGGCTCTGGAAGTCTGTTTCATCTTGGCGCAGGCCACTGAGTTGGATGTCAGGGTGGCGCTGGGTGTTACCTGGGGTTCTGGTGCTATTTTTAGCTGTTCGGTGGGTGTGGGGTTGAGGCGCTACCCCTCTGAGGGTAGCGCAACAGGTTTTTGAGGTTATTCAGTGAAAACGATGCTCTGAGTTTAATAAACAGTTGTAAGACTGTGTTCGAGTTGTCATCTCTTAATTGATTTCTGGCTGTGATCTCTCGGTTGTCTTCCGTGAATGATTGTTGGGACTTCTGTGGAGAGAATCCACTGTGTTGTGTGTTCTGTCACTTCACTCTTTTGAGTCTTCTACTGCGTTCCCTTTGTTGGGCGGTGTGACACTCCACTACCTCTCCCCTTCCTTCTGTGCATGTATGGGCGTGTACGGGAGATTCTCTGAGTGAGTGTTGACAAAATTTCAACGGACAATCATGTTTATAACAGTTGGTATTGGAGCAGATCGCAAGATGATGGACTGAGGCAGCCATCACTACCTGAGAGCTTCTGACGTTGGATTTCACGGTGGAATCGCATCTTCAGTACTGCGCTCAGTAAGGTGTTGGTGAGGAGCGTGTGGAGGCTGGTATGACACAGAGATTGGTGGCGATTCAGTGCTCAGTGGCCTGGGAGGCACCGAGGGGCTATTTTTAGCCCAGGTGTTGACTCTGCTAGTGGCGAGATACCTGGGGGTATGTCGAGTTTCAGATTCTGAGCGGGATTCAGTGAATCTGACTAGTGGGTGTTAATCGCTATATCAAAAGCTTCAGTATCACCAAGTTTCAGGAGATTTTGAACGTGGGAGCATCAGGAACAGTGAATGGGAAGAAACTGGCGAGATGGCATCCATAGCCAGTTCAGCTTCTTCTTCAAGTGTTTTGCCCTGAAGTAAATGTGTTCCTTACTCAAGTCTCTGCTGCAGCGAGTTTGATAGTTGTAATTAGACTGGAGAAATCGAAATTGGATGTTCATAGTCAGTGAAAGTTGAAAATCGCACTGCCTGACTGCCATAGCTATTTCTCCTACCTATCCACTTTGACTTCTACTGACTCTGTTTGACCCCCTCTCTGTCTCAAATTGCATCTCTGACTGTCTTACAGTATTGCGATTCAGTCAATTGGATAGTTCAGGACCTATTTGTCAGTGATAATGGAATTCTGAGTATTGCGCTGCCTTAGCAGCTAGGGTTTGTCATATCTTAGGTGCTGTCCGTCAGAATTTCAGTCTGTCAGTCACCCTGAAATCGCAATTCAGTATTGAGTCAGTGTCTGAAAGCGCTCTACTGGCATTGATGTTTTGAGTCAGATACAGTGATATCTGTACTTCGCCTCAACCATAGTGAGGCATACATGGTCGTACAGTGCCGGTGTTAGTAGTAGGAGTCTAAAAATAGCTTCATCAGTAATTCGCTGCATCTTGGTTGACTACCGAATGTATTAATCGCTACTTACTCTCTGCGCTATTCTAACCCTCCTACTTACAGTCCTAGGTTGCATCCTGTCTAATTCTGGGGTTATTGCACTCAGATGAGGGTTCTGGGCTGTGAATGAAAAATCGCAAGTTGATTTTATCTGGGATTGCCCTAAACTGACCCAGAAAAGCCCTCAGCGGCCTGCAGAGTTTGAGCGCTCTTCTGCCTATCACACCACGTCTCTTCTCATCAGGTGGCAGTGATTACATCCTTGTGTGTGTGCTGTACTCTTAATTTCTGCTGACCTTGTTTCTGCGTGTCTTATTTATTTGACTGTGTGGGTATAAATAACGATGGCTGACGCTGAGATGAAGGTTGAGGAAGGGGAACCTTCTGCTCACCCTCCCCCACTTCCTCTCTCCCCCTTGGAACAGGCCCTGCTTGAAGCGGAGGAAAACCGCAAAAATGCAGAGGCCCATGTCCAGCGGTTAAAAAGGGAGATGAAGGAAGCAGAGGAGGCTAGGAGGAAGGAGGAGAGGAGGGGACACTTACGTAAAGAGGTGGAGAAAGTTGTTGTCAGTGGTGCTTCCAGCCAGTATAGTAAGGATACTGCTGAGTTGGTGCTGTTAACAGACACTCTCAACCGGTCTTACTTTTCTAACTGGGACCAACGGATTCTCACTGTAGAGAATCAATGCTCTGCCATCGACCGCAAGGTCGATAAGTTGACAACAAGCCTTGATTTCCTAACAGCGAGTGTCAACAAAATTCTGCAGCATCTGCAACTCCCTGTGCCTCCTCCCCAACCTCTTCAACCTATCCCAAAATTGGGTTCACCATCTCACAGTCGTCCAGCTTCACCTACTGGTTCCCGTGTGTCCACTACCTCTGTCCCCTCTGGCGCATCTGATCAACAGCAGCCCAAGCTGACACCACCTCCTATGTACTTTGGGGAAGACCCCAAGGTGGATGTTTCAGATTGGGTTACCGCTATGCAGGCGTACCTGGGGTTCTGGTGCTATTTTTAGCTGTTCGGTGTGTGTGGGGTTGAGGCGCTACCCCTCTGAGGGTAGCGCAACAGGGTTCTGAGGTTATTCAGTGGAAACGATGCTCTGAGTTTAATAAACAGTTGTAATACTGTGTTCGAGTTGTCATCTCTTCATTGATTTTTGGCTGTGATCTCTCGGTTGTCTTCTATGAATGATTGTTGGGATTTCTGTGGAGAGACTCTTCTGATTCTTCCGCTGCGTTCCTTTTGTTGAGCGGTGTGACAATCCACTACCTCTCCCCTTCCTCTGTGCATGTATGGGCGTGTACGGGAGTTCCTGTGAGTGAGTGTTGACAAAATTTCAACGGACAATCATGTTCATAACACGCTCGTGAGAAGATAGGCATGGGGTGAGAAGATGGGCATGGGGCAGGACAAAGGATCACTGAAGGGAGAAACAAGCACGCAAAGAAGCAGAAGACTGAAAACACACTAATCGGACTCATCAGACTCTGAAGAGTCTGAACTCAGCTCACACATACATCATCACTCGTGAGATAGGCAAAGAGGGGACATCCACTTCATCTGCTCCAACCCTTCAAAGCCTGTCGGCGGCAGGTATCAATTTCATTGGACGCTGCCCGCTAACAGCTTATTTTTCACTGCGATGTGCTGCATCCGAGCACCAGGATCTACAGACAACGGGCGTTTTTGGGTGTGGACTTGAGAGTTGTGCAGTGCATGCTTCTGTGCCTTCTCTTTTTACGCCGATCGTCGATCTTGGGCCTTGATTTGTCAGTGGGCCCCTGGATAGCAGGAGGCGCAAACCGACGAGGCGAAGCGCCTTGACCTTTTCAAAAGTGGTAGACATTTCTCCAATCAACAAATCGAAAACTGGAAACAGACGAGGGACAAAGTGGAAGGGCAGGTCGAGTTCTATTTGTCACGTGTTTTCCGTGTTTTGGCACTTTCGAAAAGCGCCCGTGTGGTTTCTGTGCACAGGCAGGCAAGCGGTGCAAGGTAGAAGTGTGCAAGCAGGAGAGTCTTGCTGGCTGTGATGGGTGGGAGAAGGGGTGGGTCTTTGCATTTCGTTTTTGAAGCGTGTCTAACATGCTCAGGCAGGTCTTCATACTATAGACACAACAAACAGACTTGAGAGAGAGAGAGAGAGAGAGAGAGAGAGAGAGATCTTCGGTTAAAACTCCGATGATTCTGAAAAGAGAAAAAAACATAGTTGCGGCGCACCAGTG